TAGATGACCTCCAAGGTACTTCCCAACTCTCTTATTCTGCAATTCTGTTATTCTGTTTCCTCCAGTAAAGTTTGCCTTCTTTTCAAGAGGTAAGTGGGACCTTTTCTGCTTAATTGCTCTGCTCTCACACAACCACGGCTGCATTTCCTTGGTGGCTTGTTGACATTTAAATACATGAAAATCCTAACGAGCAAGTCTACTGCAGAGGCCTGGGGGGGGGAGGGAGGGAAAGAAGGAGGAATGGCGGTGGGCTAAGCTGGAGGGACCAGGGGAGGGCTTGTTGATGTGGCAATAGTCCACAGCTCAAGTAAATCCGACAAGATATGTTCGTTGAGTGGAAGATGGAAATATAGTCATGGGCAAGAATGGATGGAGTCACTGAAGCAGTAGGTGTGAATTTAAATGGACTCCAGAAGATGGTAGAGGACAGGAAGACCTGGAGGAACGTTGTCCATGGGGTCGCGATGGGTCGGACACGACTTTGCAATTAACAACAAGAAGAAAGGTCCAGACTTTCCCATAGTTACGAGATGGATGGATCTCAAATTCCCCCCCCCCCCCCAAATAAGTACCAGGAAGATGGGCTTCTCAACTTCAACAGCTTTAAGACACCCAGACTTCACTTCCCAGAATTCCACAACTGGCCTAGCTAGTTTAGAAAAAGCTGATGCAGAGAAAAAGCAGGCAGGGAAAAAAAAATGCTTGCTCAGCAGTTTAGAATTAAAAGAGCCACCTGCCATTATAATAATAATGATGATGATAAAGTTGGAAGGGACCTTGGAGGTCATCTAGTCCAACCCCCTGCTCAGGCAGAAAACCCCATACCACATCGGACAAATGGCTGTCCAGTTTCTTCTTAAAAACTTCCAGTGTTGGCGCATTCACCGCTTCTGGAGGCAGGTTGTTCCACTGGTTAATTGTTCTCACTGTCAGGAAGTTTTTCCTTGGTTCTAGGTTGCTTCTCTCCTTGATTGGTTTCCATCCGTTGCTTCTTGTCCTGCCTTCAGGTGCTTTGGAGAATAGCTTGACTCCCTCTTCTTTGGGGCAGCCCCTGAGATAGTGGAAGACTGCTATCATGTCCCCCCTCGTCCTTCTGTTCATTAAACTAGACATATCCAATTCCAGCAGCCATTCCTTATATGCTTTAGCCTCCAGTCCCCTAATCATCTTTGTTGCTCTTCTCTGTACTCTTTCTAGAGTCCCCACATCTTTTTTACATCGTGGTGACCAAAACTGGATGCAGTATTCCAAGTGTGGCCTTACCAAGGCCTTGTAAAGTGGTATTAATACTTCACCTGAACTATCCCAGGTATTCTTATGAGATTCGTACTGTTCAGAAAACCTATTACTTCCTTACTTGAGGAGCAATCTATAACAGTGAACTAAAACCAGTTATTACTTTGAAGGCAGATTATGTAGCAGGATTTTACTGGAAACAGGGGAGATTTTAAGTCAGTGGTGGGATTCAGCCAGCTCGCACCGGTTCAGAACCAGTAGCTAAATTTTTCTGAGTTCAGAGAACCAGCTGAACGGACACTGCTTCCGGAAGTCTAGGCCTTGGAGGCCTCCCGGACCTAGAATAGCCCACCGGAAGTACATGGATGCCACTTATGGAACTCCATTCTAGGCCTGGCAGGCCTGGAGCAGGCCTCCCAGGCCCTAAAAACAGCCCGCTGGAAGTACATGGATGCCACTTCCAGAAGTCTGTTCTAGGCCTCGGAGGCCTCCCGGACCTAGAATGGCCCACCAGAAGTACATGGATGCCACTTCTGGAACTCCATTCTAGGCCTCGGAGGCCTGAAGCAGGCCTCCCAGACCCCAAGAACAGCCTGCCGGAAGTGTGTGGATGCCACTTCCGGAAGTGCATTGTAGGCCTCAGAGGTCCAGGCCTGCATCCAATAAGAGAACTGGTTGTTCAGGTATTTGAATCCCACAACTGTGTTAACTCCTATACAAGCCCAGTAGAAGATAATAAATATTAGTACAGCTTAATGAATAACGTTAAGGTGGGAGGTGGAAGCCTAAAAGCTATTTACCGTCTGACATATGGATGACATTTCTTAAATGCAATGTTTCCCAGCTTGGGCAGCTTCTGAATAACGGGACTTCAACTCCCAGAATTTTCATGAATGATCAAGCAGGCGGGGGGAATTCTGGGAACTGAAGTCATACATCTGGAAGTTCTCCAAGTTGGAACTGATTACAGGCAGTCCTCGACTTAGGAACACAGTTCAGTCCAAAATTTATGTGGTTAAATAAGTTTTGCTAAGAGATATTCGTTAAGTGAGTTTTGCCCCATTTTGCGACTTTTCTCACCACGGATGTTAAGTGAATCACTGTAATACTATGTTAAGTTGGAAGGGACCTTGGCGGTCTCAAGCAGGAGACCCTATACCAGGAGTGTCAAACTCGCAACATCATGTGATGTGTCGCGACATATTGTGATTTTTTTCCCATTGATGGCAATGGGGTGGACATGGTTTCTATATGATGTATCTGGCCCGCGGACCGGCACTTTGACACCACTGTCCTGTACCGTTCCAGTGGCTGTCCAGTTGCTTCTTAAAAACCTCCAGTGATGGAGCATTCACCACTTCTGAAGGCAAGCAGTTCCACTGGTTAATTGTTCTAACTGTCAGGAAGTTTCTCTTTAATTCCAGGTTGTTTCTCTGCTTCATTAGCTTCCATCTGTTGCTTCTTGTCCTGCCTTCAGGTGCTTTGGAGAATAAGTGGACTCCCTCCTCTTTTTGGCAGACCCTTAAGATATTCAGTAAAACATTTGATAAAGTAGATCACAACCTACTACTCGATAAGATAGAAAAATGTCGGTTAGACAGCATCACCACCAGATGGATTCATAGCTGGCTAACCGGCCGTACTCAGCATGTGGTCCTCAATGGAACCGCATCTACATGGAGGGAAGTGTGTAGTGGGGTGCCCCAGGGCTCTGTTCTAGGCCCAGTGCTCTTCAACATCTTCATCAACGATTTGGACAAGGGGATAGATGGGGAACTCATCAAATTTGAGGATGACACCAAGCTGGCAGGAATAGCCAACACTCCAGAAGACAGGCTTAGGATACAGGAGGATCTGGACAGACTTGAACACTGGGTACTATCTAACAAAATGAAATTCAGTGGTGAAAAAAGTAAGGTTCTACATTTAGGCAAGAAAAACCAAATGTACAGGTATAGTATAGGGGGTACCTTGCTCAATAGTAGTAACTGTGAGAGGGATCTCGGAGTCCTAGTGGACAATCACTTAAATAGGAGCCAGCAGTGTGCTACAACTGCCAACAAAGCCAACACAGTGCTGGACTGCATTAACAGAGGGATAGAATCAAGATCACGTGAAGTATTAATACCATTTTACAATGCCTTGGTAAGGCCACACATTGAATACTGCATCCAGTTTTGGTCACCACAATGTAAAAAAGATGTTGAGACTTTAGAAAGAGTGCAGAGAAGAGCAACAAAGATGATTAGGGGACTGGAGGCTAAAATATATAAGGGACGGTTGCTGGAATTGGATATGTTTAGTTTAACGAAGAGAAGAACGATGGGGGACATGATAGCAGTGTTCCAATATCTCAGGGGCCGCCCCAAAGAAGAGGGAGTCAAGCTATTCTCCAAAGCGCCTGAAGGCAGGACAAGAAGGAACGGATGGAAACTAACCAAGGAGAGAAGCAACCTGGAACTAAGGAGAAACTTCCTGACAGTGAGAACAATTAACCAGTGGAACAACCTGCCAATCTTGTGGGTGGGAGATGCCATCTATAAAACATTTTGTAGAGGTTCTCTTTGTAAGAGGTGGCCAAAGTAAGCTTCTTGTTTCTTGCCCATAGTTCTTGCCAGATGTGCAGATCAAAATTAAGACTAAAGTCCTTGCTCCAATTCAACATAGTCACTTTTACTTGTTCCTCGTACATCTGCAACCGTTCTTCATATGTAGATCATTAAGTACAGTGGGAAGGTAAAAGCATACCATATGCCTTGGCATAGAGTCATGCTGGCCATATGTGCATGGAAAATGTCTTTGGACAACGCTGGCTTCCTTGACTAAGAAACAGAGGTGAGCACCACCCCCTAGTCCAGGGGTAGGCAACCTTGGCTCTTTTATGACTCGTAGACTTCAACTCCCAGAATTCCTGAGCCAGCATGGCTCAGCATGGAAACCTCTCCCTGTCCCCTCAGCATGGCTGGCTCAGGAATTCTGGGAGTTGAAGTCCACGAGTCAAAAAAGAGCCAAGGTTGCCCACCCCTGCCCTAGAGTCAGACACAACTGGAAAGGGGAAATCTTTACCTTTACCTTTTATCATGAGAAGTACTAGTACCACTTTATAAAGCCCTAGTAAGACTGCACTGCAATTTTGGTCACCATATCACAAAAAAGAGGTTGAGCGTTTGGAAAAAATCAGAGAAGAGCAACTAAGATGATCAAAGCCCTGGAGACCAAAACATATGAAGAACGGCTGCAGGACTTGGGTTTGGCTAGTCTAGAGAAAAGAAGAAATAGGGGAGACATGATAGCAGTGTTCCAGTACCTGAGGGGCTGCCACAAGGCAGAGGGGGCCAGGTTGTTCACCAGAACACCAGAGGGAAGGATGAGAAACAATGGTTGGAAGCAACCTGGATTTAAGGAGAAACTTCCTGACAGTGAGGACAATCAACCAGTGGAACAGCTTACCCCCCAGAAATCGTGGGCACGCCATCTCTGGAGATCTTTAAGATGAGACTAGACATTCACCTGTCTGAGATGGTGTAGGTTCTGCTGCTTGAGCAGGAGGCTGGACTAGAAGACCTCCAAGGTCCCTTCCAGCTCTATTGTATTGTATTCTATTTTACTTTTACCTGTCATGTTTAAGTACACACGTAGCCTTCTTCTCTCCTTATCACTCAGAGATGGTAGCCCAAGCAATGAACATGTGATGTCATAAGGGAGTGGGCTGTTTCAAACTACTAGCCCTGTGGTGGGGGAGAGCCACATACTCTGTGGTGAAAAGTGTGGTTAAGTGAACAAGTTGAGTTTCATAATTTCAAGAGACAACATTCCAAAGGAGGAGGAGAGCTCTGCATTCTGCTCTTGAAGACCATCGTTGGGTTGACGTGGCCTCAACGGCTCCCTAACCCGGCTCTCCAAAATGCCAAAGGGGTGAGGCCTAGATACTCCACCGGTCTCTCCATCTTCCATCCATTGCGTCTGCAGAAGGTGATCTCCACCATGTGGGACCTCCTGGTGGGACCTCTTCCTCTGCTGGCGACCGTTTCCTTCTTTCTCGAGCCAGCCTTGGCCAAGCCATTTGTCCATCTGGTGTACAAGCAGAACGACACCTGTATGGATTTTAACGCCGCCCCAGCCTGTTTCGGTCCACCCATGCCTGTCAGCGGTCTGAAGGGTTACCTGGTTGAAACGGTGCCTGCCAATGCTTGTCTCCCCATAAAGGCAGCCCCGGTTTCTAACCGGACTCCTTCTGGCTTCATCGCCCTCATCCGCCGATATGACTGTTCCTTCAACCTCAAAGTTTTCCATGCCCAAGAAGCTGGGTACCGGGCAGCTATCATCTACAATTTGTGCTCTGATTTCTTGGTGAACATGGCAGTCAGCTTGGAAGAGAGAAGACTGACGATCATCATCCCGTCGTTGTTTATCGGGCGGACAGCTTCCAAACTTTTGAGAAGGCAGGTTCATTCAGCAAAGGATACCCAAATTATGGTGGTGGTGCCCCAGAGTTATTACAATTCCTGCTCGGATGAAACCTACGTGGCTCTTTGGGAATTAGCTGTCTATGACCTGCCGATTTGGCCTGGTTACTGTTCTCAACAACTGTTCCTCAAAGTCCTCCAGGAGTTTGGGTTGCTGATTAGCCTCAGCATGGGCACCAGCTTCTTGCTGCTGGTCAGTTGGGTGAAATGGGGCCGGCCCAACCAAGGTATCCAAGTCAAGACCTTCAAGCAGGGCGACAGGTATGACACCTGTGTAATCTGCATGGCGGAGTACGAAACAGGGGACCAGCTGAAGATTCTTCCCTGCGCCCATGTCTTTCACATCACCTGTATCAACACCTGGTTACTCATCCAGCCCACGGTGGGGAAGACGTGTCCGATCTGCAAACAGAAGGTCAACAGTGCAATCTAGGGAGGTGGACGGAGAGGCGGTGGAGAAGAAACAGAGACGGCACCTCCAGATACAGTGGGAGGAGTGGGGACAGAGAAACAAATTCTCCCCAAATATGGACATTGTGTCTGTTGTCTTTCAGGGATTTTGGGGTTTCGGTGAGGAAAAAAGAGCAGGGTGGAGATGTGGTCAGGAGATCCATTGGGCTATATTTTGGCTTTTTTTTTTAAGTCATCATCATCGTCACCACCACTGCCACCACCCCACCATCATCATCATTTTATCATCACACAGAGGGTTGCCCAGAAAGAATGGAATGGAATGGAATGGAATGGAATAGAATAGAATAGAATAGAATAGAATAGAATAGAATAGAATAGAATAGAATAGAATAGAATAGAATATAGGATGGAATATAGAATAGAATAGAAATTAGGGTGGAGTAGAGCACAACAGAACAGAAGTAGAGTAGAGTACAGTAGAGTATAATAATAATAATAATAATAATAATAATAATAATAATAATAATAGCAGCAGCAGCAGCAGTAGTAGTAATAGTAGTAATAATAAAGTTGGAAGGGACCTTGGAAGTCATCTAGTCCAACCCCCTGCTCAGGCAGGAAACTCTAACCAGGGGTAGACAACCTTGGCTCTTTTATGACTTCTGGACTTCAACTCCCAGAATTCCTCAGCCAGCCTGGCTCAGCTTGGAAATCTCTCCCTTTCACCACAGCATGGCTGGCTCAAGAATTCTGGGAGTTGAAGTCCACAGGTCATAAAAAAGCCAAGGTTGCCTATCCCTGGATCTAGGTGTATCTATCATCTGTCTGTCTGTCTGTCTGTCTATGTCAGGGATAGGCAACCATGGCTCTTTTATGACTCGTGGACTTCAACTCCCAGAATTCCTGAGCCAGCATGGCTCAGCTTGGAAACTTCTCCCTTTCCCCTCAGCATGGATGGCTCAGCATGGCTGGCTCAGGAATTCTGGGAGTTGAAGTCCACAAGTCATAAAAGAGCCAAGGTTACCTATCCCTGCCCTATACCATTTCAGATAAATCGCTGTCCAGTCTCTTCTTAAAGACTTAGAATAGAGTAGAGCAGAGTAGAGTAGAGTAGAGTAGAGTAGAGTAGAGTAGAACAGAACAAAACAGAACAGAACAGAACAGCCTGAACTAATTGTGGAAAGAGAGCAATTGGAGGCCAATCTCCCCCAAATGTGAATTTACAGGATTAATTTACATCATTTGCTTGGTTTTATGCCATTTGAGCAATCCCACCACAATACCTAAGAGATAAATTCTGGCAAATGGTGTGAATGATGTTCCTTCCCCCCCCCCCACACACACACACACTGCTCGGCAAATCCGTGACTTAGTTTAGGGGTGAAGCTCAATGGTTGTAGGTTGGATCTGACACCTGTGGAGGGGGCTTTGGTATGCAGATTTTTCCCCCTGTGGTTACTTAATTTGCATTGGCAACGCTTTCAGTAGCTCTCATGCCATCCTAGGTGAATGTGAATTTAGAGTTCAGGTAAAGTTGCTCCTGGACTGAAAAAGGTTGGAATGCAGCTTGAAGACTACAGGCAGTCCTCAGCTTACAGCCATTCATTTAGTGACCTTTCGAAGTTACAACCACACTGAAAATAGTGACTTGTGTTCATTTTTCACACTTACGACCGCTGCAGCATCCCAGCGGATGCCATACGCTTCTGTGAGGTCATTTAATTTTATTAAGAATCTATTAAGAATGATTCACGTAAAGAACGAAAATCAATACAAACCTCAAAAAAAAAAAACAATACAAACAGAAAAACACAAAAAGGGAGGGGTGTTTGAAAGAAAAAAAATGGGGGAAGGGGAAATGTAAAAAAAAAAAAAGTAACTTCTTTCATCCCAGCAGATTAAAAACAATTTTAACAGCTTATCACCATATCTCAATAAAATATAATCTCTCTTCTGTCCATAGCTCATCTCTTAGATAAAGAAAACAAAATCAAAATAGTGCGTCAATCCATCTTTGTCAGAAAATGTCCAATAAGGGCAACCAGATAATAATAATAATAATAATAATAATAATAATAACAACAACAACAACAACAATAATAATAAAGTTGGAAGAGACCTTGGAGGTCATCTAGTCCAACCCCCTGCTCAGGCAGGAAACCCCATACCACTTCAGACAAATGGCTGTCCAGTCTCTTTTTAAAAAAAACTTCCAGTGTTGGAGCATTCACAACTTCTGGAGGCAAGAAGTTCCACTGGTTAATTGTTCTCACTGTTAGGAAGTTTCTCCTTAGTTCTAGGTTGCTTCTCTCCTTGATGAGTTTCCATCTGTTGCTTCTTGTCCTGCCTTCAGGCGCTTTGGAGAATAGCTTGACTCCCTCTTCTTTGGGGCAGCCCCTGAGATAGGGCTGGAAGGGACCACAAAGATCTTCTATTAGTCCACCCCCCTCCTCCCCCCCTGCTCAAGACAGGAAACCTTGTATCACCATAGTCAAATGAAGAGCCTAATGAAGAGAAGGACCAGGGGGGACATGATAGCAGTCTTCCAATATGTCAGGGGCTGCCCCAAAGAAGAGGGAATCAAGCTATTCTCCAAAGTGCCTGAAGGCAGGACAAGAAGCAACGGATGGAAACTAATCAAGGAGAGAAGCAACCTAGAACTAAGGAGAAACTTCCTGACAGAACAATTAACCAGTGGAACAACCTGCCTCCAGAGGTTGTGAATGCTCCAACACTGGAAGTTTTTAAGAAGAGACTGGACAGCCATTTGTCTGAAATGGTATAGGGCAGGGGTAGGCAACCTTGGCTCTTTTATGACTCGTGGACTTCAACTCCCAGAATTCCTGAGCCAGCATGGCTCAGCATGGAAACCTCTCTCTTTCCCCTCAGCGTGGCTGGCTCAGGAATTCTGGGAGTTGAAGTCCACCAGTCATAAAAGAGCCAAGGTTGCCTACCCCTGCCCTAGGAGATCTCCAAGGTCCCTTCCAACTCTCTCTTTCTATTATTTTCTTCTTTTTACCCTGATCAAAAACTCATAATGTTTCATCTAGTACAGTGGTTCTCAACCTTTTTAATGCCGCAACCCCCAACTGGTCGTAAGTCGGGGACTACTCAACCGGTCATAAGTGGAGGACCACTCAACTGGTGCAGCACCGTTTGCAGAATGGGACTTTTGGTGGGCTCAGCAGGACAGAGACAGCCTGGACAATTCCTATTGGCTTTTGAAAGCCAATAGAATTAGACTCTATTCAAGAGAGTCTATTCTATTGGCTTTCAAAAGCCAATAGAATAAAAGGGAGTAGCACAGCTAAGGAAAAGGGGGAAAAAATGGCGGACTGCGTTGTTTGGCGACCCCCGTGAAATGGTCATTCGACCCCAAATGGGGTCCCGACCCACAGGTTGAGAACCACTGATCTAGTAGATGTGAATGATTTAGCATTCAGTGATTTCCCCCCCCAACCCAAGTATTTTTTTTTAAATCTGGGATCCGTGCCAGACTGTTAAACTACGAACTCAAAACATTCCCTGTAGGGCAAGGCTGTGGAAAGAAAGGTTGTAAAAATGGCTTCTAATTTTAGTGGGGACATGATGAAGAAAAAGGTTCAGGGATGGAAAGAAAATTGGCAGTCCATATTTCCTTCTCCGCCTTCTCTTTCTTCTCCTGTCTTTTTACAACTGCAGAGGCCTGCAAAAACGTAAGCTCTGCGTGAGAAGGTTCAACCTTGTTCCCTGACTGTGAGGGAAGAAAGTGAGCATTTTCTGACCCCCCCCCCAAACTCATAAATTACATTTCTGTCCTTTGGGGCAAGTAATGCAGATGTCCAAATTGCTCTGGACACAGATATTCTGAGGCATTTCTCTTTAAATTGACACTCATTTCATACGCTAGACCAGCGGTTCTCAACCTGTGGGTCGGGACCCCATTTGGGGTCCAACGACCATTTCACGGGGGTCGCCAAACAACGCAGTCCGCCATTTTTTCCCCCTTTTCCTTAGCTGTGCTACTCCCTTTTCTTCTATTGGCTTTTGAAAGCCAATAGAATAGACTCTCTTGAATAGAGTCTCATTCTATTGGCTTTCAAAAGCCAATAGGAATTGTCCAGGCTGTCTCTGCCCTGCTGAGCCCGCCAAAAGTCCCCTTCTGCAAACGGTGCTGCACCAGTTGAGTAGTCCTCGACTTACAACCGGTTGAGTAGTCCTCGACTTACGACCGGTTGGGAGTCGTGGCATTAAAAAGGTTGAGAACCACTGTGCTAGACCAAGGGTGTCAAACTCAATTTTATTGAGGGCCGCATCAGCATTGCGGTTGCCCTCGGGGTGTGTGGCCAGGGTGGGTACGGCCTACTGGGTGGGCATGGATGGAGTGGGTGTGGCCTACTGGGTGGGCATGGCCAGCTCTACATCGTTCGCGTCAAGGGTGCCTGTGGGGGCCTGGGCAGGAATGGGACAGATCTGAGGGTCTCTGGCAGAAGGGGGTGGGACCGGGGCAAGTGCCAAGGCATGGTCCATTTCTTCATTCCTCACAAAGGGTGACACCTCCCCAGCATGCACCCATGGGGCGGGGCTGACGCGGCAGGGGCTGGTTCCTCGCTGTTTCTAGACGGCCTTGTGAAGCTAAGACTGAATGCATTTCAGCATAGATGGCCACCACAAAATTGTACATTGGCTCCCGGCCAGCCTGAGCCAGGGCCAAGGCAGCGGGGGCCATTCCTTCACTGTTTCCAGGATGCCTTCGCGGGCCACATGAAACCACTTCATGGGCCGCATCCAGTCCCCGGGCCTTGTGTTTGACATGTCTGCACTAGACCAAGGCAACCTTGGCTCTTTTATGACTCGTGGACTTCAACTCCCAGAATTCCTTAGCCAGCCATGCTGAGGGGAAAGGGAGAAGTTTCCAAGCTGAGCCATGCTGGCTCAGGAATTCTGGGAGTTGAAGTCCATGAGTCATAAAAGAGCCAAGATTGCCTACCCCTGCTATAGACTAAAGTTGCTCTGGAAGTTCTTTAAGGAGAACAGAATGAGAATGAAATTCTTTTAAGTAGACTGTGAAATTCTTGGGCTCATTTATTTTTTTTATTTTTTTTTTTTTTGTATTTTTTTGATGCCAGGGCTAAGGAGCGTGGAGGCTAACAACTCACTGCACACACTCAACTCTGCATAATCTGCCTGGCTTGCAACTCTCCAATAATCCTGGGGAAGAACTATAAAGAAATGTCTCCCAGGGAATGTTTTCAAGAACAGTACTCCTGCCACCACTAATAAAGAAATAATCAGGGCACAAATGGAGGAGGGGGGATGGGAGGGAGAAGGAGAAGGGGAGGGGAAGGAGAAGAAAGAGGATGGGAGAGAGAGGAGAAGGAGAAGAATTGGAGGGAGAGGAGAAGAATTGGAAGAAGAGGAGAAGGAGGAGAAGGAGAAAGATTGGAGGGAGAGAAGAAAAAGGATGGGAGAGAGGAAAAGGAGAAGGAGAAGGAGAGGAGGGAGAAGGGAAAGAATGTGAGAGAGAAGGAGGAGGAGGATTGGAAGGAGAAGGAGGAGAAGGAGAAGGATTGGGGGAGAGGAGGAGAAGAAAAAGGATGGGAGAGAGAGGAAAACGAGGAGAAGGAGAGGAGGGAGAAGGGAAAGAATGTGAGAGAGAAGGAAGAGGAGGATTGGAAGGAGACGAGGAGAAGGAAAATGATGGGAGGGAGAGGAGAAGGAGAAGAATTGAAGGGAGAGGAGGAGGAGAAAAAGAAGGAAAAGGATGCAAGAGAGGAGAAGGAGAAGGGGGAGGAGGAGGAAAAAGATGGGAGGGAGAAGAGAAGAATGGGAGGGAGAGGAGGAGGAGGAGGAGGAGGAGGAGGAGGAGGAGGAGGAGGAGGAGGAGGAGGAGGAGGAGGAGGAGGAGGAGGAGGAGAAAGATGATGATTAATAGATTTTTTTCCTGGAGAAGGTTACCAATAATGGAAGAATAGTTCTCCATATAGTTAACTCTCCCCCAAAATGTCAACCACCTCCAGTTCCCACGGCAGAGGAACCTGCTTAGCAAACTAGTTCCCAGAAGCCAATGGAGGGAAGGGAAGGCAGGGAGAAATGGAGGGAAAGACAGCATGATGAGGTCACAAAGGACCAACTGAAGAAACATCTTGGAGGTCACCTGGAGGGAGTGCAGAGCAATTGTTTTAGTAGCAACCAGCAGGCCACGCCTGCTGAGAGGGGAGGAGATCAAGAAGACCCAGATCCATATGTCAACTTCACCTACAGCTTTTGAATCTATGGAAGCTCAGCCATCTAGAAGCTACAGCTCTTCTTCCGGAACATAAGAGCGTTTCTCCCCTCAGTTGCATATCTACCCTGTTGACCTTCAAGGAGGGCTAAGTCCCTGCTAAGATCTCCAGGACCTTCAACCAGCATGAGATTTCCATTTTCACCATCTTGGCACCTGGTTACTCTGCTCTCGATTCTCCGACTCGTCACCGTCAAGGCCTTCAGCCATGCCTCTTGCAACCATAACGTCACCTCGCTCGATCTTGGGGTTCTACCAGCTTTCTTTCAGCCCCTGCTCCCTCCCGAAGGACTCCTGGGCCTTTGGGTGAAGGTGAAGCCTTTGAACTCCTGTCATCACATCCAAGAGCCAACACCATCCTCCTCTGTCTTCGTGGTCCTCTTCCATCAGCCCAACTGTTCCTTCTCCAAGAAGATCCTTCACGTCCAACAAGTTGGCTCCCACGCTGCCGTTGTGCACAACGTGAGTTCCCAAATGCTGGAGAACATGGTGAGCGAGCCGGGCACCAAGTGGCACCTTCACATCCCCACCGTGTTCTCTACAGAAGAGACAGCAAAGATCCTCAAACATCTGCACTGCTCTGGACGATCCATGGTCGCCATCCTGAGGCGTGAACATTTTCATTTCGCCTGGAAAGTGGCTTCTGGGAATTCTCGTCTCGAGGTCAGAAATGCCTGCCGGTGTCTCCTCAAGCCGGCTGGCTTTTGTTGTCAGATTGCCATGTTCTACACCTGTTGGATTGTCTGTCTTACCGTGTCGGCCACTTTTGTTGCCATGTTGCTGACGGAGCACTATCTATCCCAGAGGAAGAGGAAGAGAAGTAGGAGGAGCTACCTTCTCCAAGAACCTGAGAAGGAATCTGTCCGTGTTTCGTTGACTGGCTCCAAATACCAGGAATGTGCCATTTGCTTGGATCGGTACCTGCAGTACGATGGTGTGAAGGTGCTCTCGTGTTCCCACGCCTTTCACAGCAGATGCATTGACCTCTGGCACATCACCCAAGCCAGAAACAAAACCTGTCCTCTCTGCATGCAGAAAGTGATGGTGGTCACCCATTTGATGGCGATAAGGTTGTGGCAACAGGAGAAATCGGTGGGACGTTGCGAGCTGACCGAAAACAACCCGTATCCAACCTGCAACCACGTTCCCTGTTGGCAGAAACACATCGCTCCCATTGCTGAAAATTAACCCAAGGGCAACAAAAGCCAGGAACCCAACGGAAAGATCAGAATAAGACCTCAACAGCGATGGAAGGAGAATGATGGTTTCCTGGAGAACGCGCAAATGCTTCTAGAGGTCTGTTTAATTCAGAAATGCCTTCAAGCTTGGACACCAGACAGAATCGTCCCCCTGGTGATCATCCTGGCAAATTGAAAAAAAACCACCGGCCATCTCAAAGGAGGGTAGAAAAGAATAAGTACACTGTGGGTGATGGACATCTTTACAACATCGCTGCCCAAATTGCGGTAGCTCAAAAAAAAAAGAGATATAAGCTAAATAATTCTGGTGATAACGCCCCTTGTGATGTGCATCAGGACAATACAGAGAAAGTGTTTTATTTAGCTGGGTCCAGTCTGGTTCTTGATGACGGTGGTCAAATGTTGGTAAAGAAGCGGGAACCAGGAAATGGGGCATTGTATTGTCTGATCAAAGTGAACAGAATGACAGAGTTGGAAGGGACCTTGGAGGTCTTCTAGTCCAGCCCCCTGCTCAAGCAGTAAACCCTATACCAGGGGAAGACAACCTCGGCTCTTTTATGACTCATGGACTTCAACTCCCAGAATTCCTGAGTCAGCTATGCTGACTCAGGAATTCTGGGAGTTGAAGTCCATGAGTCATAAAAGAGCCGAGGTTGTCTACCCCTGCCCTATCCCACTTTAGACAAATGGTGTCCAATCTCTTGACCTCCAGTATCAGAGCACCCACAACTTCTGGAGGCAACTCGTTCCACTGGTTAATTGTTCTCACTTTCGAGAAGTTCCTCCATAGTTTTAGTTTCCTTCTCTCCTTGATTAAATGTCTATGGAGATGCTCAGTTAATCCAGGTCCTGGTTGTCCCAAAGGTGGCTTTTTCACGAGGCAACCGGACTTTCTTGTTTTTCTTGGAAAGCGTTTCACTTCTCATCCAAGAAGCTTCTTCAGTTCTGACTGGATGGGTGGGGAAGGGAAGTGATTTATATTCCTTCCTGGGCATTTGCATTCTTTTAGAGCCGTGGTGGCGAACCTATGGCACGCGTGCCAGAGGCGGCACTCAGAGCCCTCTCTGTGGGCACGCGCGCCGTCGCCCCAGTCCTAGGCCTTCAGCTGGGTTTTATAAAACCTTTTCGCTTTAGGCCTCCGCCGCCGTGTGCAAAAAAAAAAAAAGGTTCAATCAGTCAATTTCAACTTCTCACGGGGGAAAAAAAAGATCTCGGAAAGTTGGAATTGATTGATTGAACTTTTTAGTCCCACCCAGTCTGCCATTACTGCTGCAGCCACACCCACCCAATGGGCCACGCCCACCCGGCACCCGACGATACGTAAGTGGGTTTTGGGTTGCAGTTTGGGCACTCGGTCTCCAAAAGGTTCGCCATCACTGTTTTAGAGAGTCAATGAGGCCACTTGGAAGTCCCATTTGCGCCACTCAGGTGATCCTGAGGACACAGGTAAACTTCTAAAAGGAGGCAAATGACCAGCTGTCTGCAAGGAGTGTAAATCCTTCCCTTCCCCACCATCCAGTCAGAGCTGAAGAAGCTTCTTGGAGGAGAAGCGAAACGTCTTCAAAGGAGAAACAAGAAAGTCCAGTTGCCTCTCGAAAAAAGAACACCTTTGGGATTCTCCTTGATGAGTTTCCATCCGTCGCTTCTTGTCCTGCCTTCTGGTGCTTTGGAGAGTAGCTTGACTCCCTCTTCTTTGTGGGAACCCCTCAGATATTGGGAGACTGCTATCAAGGAGGGAGCCAGACTTGCTTATCAACCAGGTTATTCACTTAACAGCTGAAGGGATACACTTAGCAACTGTGGCAAGAAAAGTCGTAAAATGGGGCAAAATTCACTTAACAACGGTCTTACGTAGGGACAAAATCGAGGGCTCGGTTGTGGCCAAGAACTACCTGTATAATCAGGTCCAACTCGACATACAACTGCAATCACTTAACAATAGAAATTCCAGTCCCAAATGTCCTCCCCTCCCCTCTTCTCTCCCCTCTGTCCTCCCCCTCCCTTCCCTTCTTCCCTTCTCTTCTTCTCTCCCATCCCTCTGCCCCTCCTTCCCTTCCCTTCTCCTCTCCTCTCCTCTCCTCTCCTTTCCCCTCTGCCCTCCCTTTTCCCTCCTCTCCTCTCCCCTCTGCCCTCCCCTCTCCCTTCTCCTCTTCCATCCCTCTGCCCCTCCTTCCCTTCCTTTTCTTTCCCTTTCCCTTTCCTTCTCCTCTCCTCTTTTCTCTTCTCTCCTCTCCTTTCCCCTCTGCCCTCCCTCTCTCCTCTCCTCTCCTCTTCTCTCCTCCCCTCTCCTCTCCTCTTCTCCTCCCATCTCCTCCCCTCCTTTCTCTTCTCTTCTGTTCTCTTCTTTTCTCTTCTCTTCTTGTTGTCTCTCCTCTCCTCTCCTCTTCTTTTGTCATCTCTCCTCTCCTCCTCTTCTCTTCTCTTCTCTTCTCTTGTTGTCTCTCCTCTCCTCTCCCCTCTGCCCACCTTTCCCTTCCCTTCTTCCCTTCTCTTCTCCTCTTCTTTTCCATCCCTCTGCCCCTCCTTCCCTTCCCTTCCCTCTCCTTCTCTCCTCTTTGCATTTCTACAAATGTCAGATTGTATTTCTCATGTTCAAATCTACCTACCTAGAGCCACCTTTAGCAAATTTATGTAACACACCTATACATTAGGGAGAAAAGCGTACACAGTAGAAAAACACACAATGATATGCATTACTGGATTTGAGGGAGTGGATAGTTTAGGAAAAGATTCACAAACAGGTTTAGAAGCCCACTGAGGGGATGTAAACATTTTGAAAGGGGAAAAAAAACCTTCCCTTGCAGCTTTCAAATTATATGAACTCTTCCTTCGGTTGAGAGTCATATTATATTGCCTCACCTGTTGTAGTGCTTATCTCAGTGTTTAATTTTTACACCCCACAGCTTAATTTCCACTTAGTTCTGCGGTGCCCCAGAAAAAGTTTTGGTGGATGGTGGCATAGAAATAGGCTGAAGAGAAAAGGGTCCCTCACGTCACGTGGAAAATAGTGGCTGACGTCCTCCGGTGCAGAATGCAGACCGTGGGCTCCTTGGTGGGGACTTTTCTTGGCACGTTCTTCAGATCTCTCCAGATTATTTACAATTCAGGATGAAAGGAAAGAAAACCTTGGAGTTCCTGGTTCTATTTCATCGGACTTTTTGGGTGGGAAGAGGAAAGGGGAAAGGGAAAAGGGAAGGAAAGGAAAGGAAAGGAAGTAGATAGATAGGCAAGGGAAAGGAAAGGAAAGGAAAGGAAGGAAGTAGATAGATAGGCAAGGGAAAGGAAAGGAAAGGAAGGAAGTAGATAGATAGGCAAGGGAAAGGAAAGGAAAGAAGTAGATAGATAGGCAAGGGAAAGGAAAGGAAAGGAAGGAAGTAGATAGGCAAGGGAAAGGAAAGGAAAGGAAAGGAAAGGAAGGAAGGAAGTAGATAGATAGGCAAGGGAAAGGAAAGGAAGGGAAAGGAAGGAAGTAGATAGATAGGCAAGGGAAAGGAAAGGAAAGGAAAGGAAAAGAAAGGAAAGGAAGGAAGGAAGTAGATAGATAGGCAAGGGAAAGGAAAGGAAAGGAAGGAAGGAAGTAGATAGATAGGCAAGGGAAAGGAAAGGAAAGGAAAGGAAAGGAAGGAAGTAAACAGATGGGGAAGGGAAGGGAAAGAAGTAAATAGATGGGAAAGGGAAAGGAAGGGAAGGAAAGGAAAGGAAAGAAAGGAAGTAGATAGATAGGCAAGGGAAAGGAAAGGAAAGGAAAGGAAGGAAGGAAGGAAGGAAGGAAGGAAGGAAGGAAGGAAGGAAGGAAGTAGATAGATAGGCAAGGGAAAGGAAAGGAAAGGAAAGGAAGGAAGGAAGTAGATAGATAGGCAAGGGAAAGGAAAGGAAAGGGAAGGAAGTAAATAGATGGGGAAGGGAAGGGAAAGAAGTAAATAGATGGGAAAGGGAAAGGAAGGGAAGGAAAGGAAAGAAAGGAAGTAGATAGGCAAGGAAAGGAAAGGAAAGGAAGTAAATAGATGGAGAAGGGAAGGGAAGGGAAAGAAGTAAATAGATGGGGAAAGGAAAGGAAGGAAAAGGAAAGGAAAGGAAAGAAAGTAGATAGATGGGGAAGTGAGGGAAGGAAAGGGAAAGAAGAAGAAGGGAGAGGAAAAGAAAATTGAGAGAAGAGAAAAGAAGAGAACTCTTCATATTTCTGAAAAAGACTTACCAAAATAATTTATTCTGGTTTAACCTTATCTTTCTAGTTATTAAAAGAAAAGTACTTTCTACATTTTCTCTTGAAACATTTTTAACAAAAAGGAGGCCTTAATTAGCTTGGAGCTTTGATGTTTAAAGAACAGAGAAAGAGGGAGACAAACAGAGCTGGAGATACAGTGCCCAGATCTCCTTCCGCAGCCAGTGGAGAAGCCACCATATGAGTTGAGGCTGAAGGAGACTCGGAGGTCATCTAGTCCACTTCTTGATCAGGGCAATCCCTGGGAAAGCAGAAAATCCCAGACCTGGAGGTTTTCCACATTGTCCAAGTGAGAAAAGATGAGGTAAAGCCTTCATCTATACATTTAGCATAATTATCCAAGGCTATCCTGAACCTCATAAATTCCATTTAATTACAGGCAGTCCTGTAATTAAATTGCAGCATCCCTAGGATCACAGTTCTTGAAGCTTAAAGGCTACTAATAGTCCTCAACTTACAACTGTTCCTTTAGTGTCCGTTCAATGTTACAATGGCTCTGAAAGTGACCGGGCCTTGCATTTAACGACCGTCACTGCATTCTCCTGGTCACATGATCAAACGTTGGGCACTTGGCCAACCAGCATGTTATTGATTGTGGTTGCAGCCTGCCAGGGTCATCTGCGACCTCCCCAGCCAGATTCTGACAACCCAACTGAATGGGTGCAGCTAAATGAGACTGGGATTTGCTCTCTGTTTATGTACAAGAGGCCTAATCGTCTAATCAAGGAATCACCAAGAAGACTCCCAGCAACACAACATAAGCCGCTAGTATATAATAATAATAATAATAATAATAATAATAATAATAATAATAATAATAATAATAATAATAATAATAGTAAAGTTGGAAGGGACCTTGGAGGTCATCTAGTCCAACCCCCTGCTCGGGCAGGAAACCCTACACCATTTCGGACAAATGGCTGTCCAGTCTCTTCTTAAAAACTTCCAGTGTTGGAGCATTTACTGCTTCTGGAGGCAAGCTGTTCCACTGATTAATTGTTCTCACTGTCAGGAAGTTTCTCCTTAGTTCTAGGTTGCTTCTCTCCTTGATTAGTTTCCACC